AACTATCCGTAACCTACAAACACGCTATCCGTAAGGACTTCACTGTGTGTGCACAAGATTTGCAGAGCGCCCCTGGACTGTTGCAGCCTGGCGGTGCTGGTGGGGCCGAGCGGCGACGCCGCCGTGTCGCTGCAGGTGCTGTGCGACGGCGTGCCGCTGCCCGCGCTGTCGCTGGTGGACCCCGCCACCAACTTGGCCAACGTGCGCTTCGTGGCGCCGGGCCCCGGCCGCCTCACCGTGCGGCTCTCCAACGGCGGCCTCGCCAAGGGCGCCTTCGTCAGGCTGGAGCGCGCCGAGATGGGGCCGCGCGACGCGTGGGACGAGTGCTGCGACGACTTCACCTACTTCGACTGCTACCGCAGCAGGGATCACGAGGGCTCCTGTCGCCGCAACGTTGTCAACAAGGCCAACGTGCTGCCCCACGGCCGCAGGTAGGGAGTTGCTGGCCAACGACCTGGTCTCCAGGCGTCGCCTTGGTCCGGCATCGCGGCAGACTGTAGCAGGGGTGGGCATTCCCTAGGTAAAAGTAAGGGAGTATGGGGTGATTTGTAACAGGGGCGATTCGTAACAAATGCGTTTATTAATTTAAGTGGAGGGAGCAGAGGAAAATCTGAGTATGGCCCCTCTTTCGCTTCAAGTACAGGGTCCTTCAACAATCGAAGCGGATGTGATCGGTGCTCAGGTATAGTTATAGTTTTGGAGGGCGTCTGAAATAAAGGGTACACTGAACACAGGCAAATCTTTTATTTTAGGCTCCCCAGGTATGAATCACCATCGAAGTTCCGTTGGGGCCTTGAAGCGTGACCCCTTTACAATGTAACCACGTGACAGAAGTTGCCTTTACTTTGTCCAGTGATAGTTAGGGGCGGATTTCTTGCGTAACAGGCATTTGGGGTGATTCGTAACAGACCCGTATAAAAACAAGAATTTAAGAAGTTTTTGCAATTAAATGCTTGAATTATTTGATCCAGGAAGCGGAAGAAGGGGATAACGCAATTTTGACCATTTTTCAGGAGAAACAAAAATCTGTTAGCAGGGAAAAGTAAGACAAAACAAATGAATGTTGGAAATGTTAATTATTTCAAAAAGCATTAGTAGAATTTTGGAAAAAAATCCAAAGTGTAAGGTCACTCTGTAGAGGATTTCTGCAACTTATCACTTTCTGTTGAAATGGAAAACAGAGTCAGCTCGCCTTATATTTCCTAAACTAAGAGGAATTCGGAGACAAGTCAAGTGGAACAATAGTATGCATAAAGTGTATGTTGCTCTAGTGTATTTTTTGGACTTAGCTCTTTTTTCCAAATTGAAATTTAAAATTAAGGGGGGGTTAAGTTGAGTTGATTCTTTGTACACTAGATTCATAAAAACACAAGTTGAGTTATATCCTTTTGCCAATTTGTCAAACGGACTCATGTAGACTAAAGTTGAGTTATCTCCATTTTCCAATGAAATTTAGACTGTAAAAGTGGTTAAGTTACCCTTTTTCCATGTGGATTTTCTCCTTAACTGCTTCGAATTCAGTCAAATAATTTGGTGTAATGATGTAAACCATTCTAAGGCACAATAATAAAATAAAAACTCAATTTGGGGATAAGTCAAGTTATTCCCTTCTTCCGCTTCCTGGATCATTTCTCAAATCATGTCCTGCCTTATTCCAATACATTTACACAGCTCGAAATGCATTTTAAAGCGAGTTATTCTATTCTTTCCTTTAAGGGGGGACCCTGGTGAAACTTTCAAGTAGGCTTTAAAATAATCCCAGAAAGTTGTAACTTTGCTTGATTATTAGGTTCATTATGGTGAGTTCATAAAACAAAATTCAATCCAAAATGTTGAACGGTCTCTGAGAAAAGTGGCTTTTTAGTGTTTTTTAGAGCGTTGGGGAAAAATCTTCCTGCGTCTTTCATTGGAACGGAAAGTCTTGAAAATTTTTTTGGGTTATCCTTATGTATAGAAGAGATTTTAGTGACGGAATTTTCAATTTCATCTTCTGTCCTGAGATATCAATTTTCAAATTGAAACATTTAAAAAAGTGAATATTTTGCCTTTTTTTGAAACATTTAGGTGTGTGTTAAAAAAAGTAGGGCTGATATCAAGATTCCGTCACTAAAATTTGTCGATAAGTCATCAATGAATAGAGTCCATGCAAGACGACTCATGTAGGTGTTAACCAGGAACGCAGGAAGTCTTTCTACGACAAAATTTTTTGTCGACTGAGCAAAGCTGTGAAGTTGAGCGTATAAGCCAATGACAACTGATCTCAATGTTATTTTCTTTCCAAATGATTAAGGAACTACCCACATAGTTTAAAGGTGTTCAACCTGTTGAATCTGAAACCTTCTATGCACATTTTTATCTATGAACTTTGAAAATACTATGTTTGGCAATTTTGGTCATTTTTTCACCAGGGTCCCCCCTTAAAATTGAAAAAAGTGAGGTTAGGATTGACATAGCCGATCAGTTAATGCTAAGGCGGTCAACGGCAGCTTGTAATGTAGATTTTAAGGCGTCTGCAGGACATCCGAAGAACAACTGCTGGAGGAGATAACATTCCCGGTGATGTTTCATTTAATGTGTAGGATGTTATGAAAAGCCCCATGGCTGTTACAAATCGCCCCATGCTGGGGCGATTCGTAACAGCATGCAAGGGTTTGGAAAGCGTCTTAGATTTCAAAGGTTTCGGACTCCAGATTGATCCAATGGAGCTGCACAGTCTAGATGAAGGGCCAGACTGCTCAACTGGCACAAGTTTGACACTGATATGCAGAATGTTCTTAATTTTGTATAGAGAATTCCGAAATCTGTTACAAATCGCCCCATTCTCCCTTACCTAGGTGAAAGTGATGGTTACGTACTTTGTACTTGACGCGCTGAGGTGTTGCGTGCCTGCCAGGCGCTCGCCGGTCGTGTGGCAGGAACTTACCTCACTGGAAAAATATTGTGCCACTCTCAGACTGTTATTGACTTTTTGTCCTTTGTTTAAGAGTATTTTACTCAGCAATAAGAAGTACTATTCCCTCAATATCTATGTAAGATTACGTTCTGTTATATTGACTTAGTGTCAAGTTGCTATTAAGAAAGAGTTAATACGCAATTGACTTTAAAATTAGTCAGAAATTGATGACAATTTAGTCTTAAGTGAACAGTATTACATGATTTACAAAGGAAATACTACACATTATTGCTGCTTAACAAAGTACGTTAGCACAGGACAAAAAGTCAACAATGGGTAGAAAAAAGTCAATATGAGTCTGAGAGTGATGTTCTGAGTAGCCAAGGAGTGAAGTTTTCCGAAATAGAAGACCGTTGACGGAGGGCGTCCTGTTGCAGCCTGACGGTGCAGCGCGACGAGAGCACCGGCGGCCGCAGCATGCTGGTGGAGGCGCTGCGGGACGCGCGGGGCGGGCCGTGGGCGAGCTGGCCGCCGACCTGCAGGGCGTGCGGCGCACCAAGTGGCGCGTGGGGCTGTGGCCGGAGGAGAGCGGCGCGCTGCTGGAGGGCTTCGAGTGGCGCCTGCTGGACGCCGAGCCGGGCCGCGTGGTGCCTCTCCGCGTCATCACGCCCACCCGCCAGGCCATGCTGGCCGTGCCCGCCAACGCCTCCGTCGACTCGCTCAAGGTGAGTAAATGCAGGTTGGGGCGGGGATGCACTGAGATTCCGAACGCTATGAGTATAGCACGTATGGTGCAATGCAGCTGAGATATCGCACCATACGTGCAATGCCATAGCCATACAGGGATCCTCAACTTACCTCATAAGGGCATCATAACGTTATCGTAAGTGTTCAAGTTATTAACCTTATAACTTCTGACATCTTTTCAAAAAGGGTAAGTTATTTTTTTTGTGTTTTGAATTTGTGTAGAGATACTCTTGGGAGTACTTCCAAAAGTCCGTACCCTTAACCTTTAGCGATCATTGTCTTATGTTACGTTATGAAAGCAGTGTTAGTTAAATGTTAAGTTAAGTTAAGGATCTCTGTAGCCATATTGCACCTTACGTGCAATGCGTCCCGAAAATGCCCTATGCTAATGCATGGGAATGGGGACGCATTGCACTTCATGTGCAATGCTTTTGCATTGCATGCACCAATTGACGCTATACTCAAAGCGTTTGGATTCTCAGTGTGGGAGCTTTTGAGGCATCTTGGTTGGCTCGGCTGTCTGCTAAGCAGGGTGGTCAGTGGCACGGTGCCTCTGGGTCGTGTGAGCGAGACAGCGCCAGCCCATTGGCCTGTTGGTCGCCATCCGGCTGCTCTACGAACTCGAGTGTGAAAATAGTACACTCGACCTGGACATGCGCATGTACACTCTAACCTGGAGCATACCTGCCATGTACACTCCAGGTTGGCGTGCACTTGCCAAGTACACGCCAAGTGGCGCATGCGCCAGGGAAAATTTCATTGTTTTGGTCTTAACCCTGCCTCATAAGTCTGGATAGGGAAGTCTTTTCTTTATGAAATCCTGACCGATTTTTGGCCAACGGCAGTCCATATGAGTCCAAGAAAGGCTTCAAAATTTTTGGGCCGAAACATGCACGGTTCAGATTCAATGAGCGATGTAATTTCACGTCAACTCTGACTCTTCAACATTCGGGCCTAACATGGACGCATGGATCCAACATACATGTTGGTGTTGCTTCAACCAACGGAGGCCCGATTCGTGTTCCTCGCTTGATTTTGCCTCGAATACATTGAGCAGAATCAAGTGCTGTTTGTCAAAAAATGGAAATCGTCATTGGGCGTCGTGTACTAAAATCGGACTTCTTGAAACAAACGCCTCACAGCATGAGGAATGCACCTTGAGTGACGGTTGGCTGTTGCCATGATGTGGTGCTTCTTCTCACTGTGTTCACAGGCCATCCTGGAGCGTGAGCTGGGCATCCCGCGCGCCGAGCAGCAGCTGTGCGGTGATTGGCCGAGCCCCGTGCGGCCCTGCTCGTGGTACGCCCAGCAGGGGCTGTTCCCGGCGACCCTGCACGTGTGCGGCGGGCAGCGGGCCGGGCCCACGGTGTGGCTGCAGGTGCAGCACCAGCAGGGCCGGACGCTGGTGGTGGCGCAGTCCTCCGACAAGCTGCAGGCGGTGCTGGACAAGGTGCCGGGCCACATCGACCACGTGCACGGCCTGTACCGAGACGGCCAGGAGCTGCGGCTGGACCGCACACTGTCGGACCACGGGCTGGCCTGCCTCCACTCCCTCGAGATGCGTGAGCGCGGCTGCATGCAAGCGCTCATCGGCGTGCCGGCGGGTTCTGCTTGTCCCTCCACCTCGGTGCTGGTGGGCTTCGACCCGGAGGACACGGTGGAGGAGCTTTGCGAACGGGCCGCCTTCAAGATCGGCGGAGCGGTCCTGGACCAGTACCGCGTCAATCCCAACTTCTCGCTGTTCCTTCGAGACGAGGAGGTCGCTGGTGATCGGCTGGTTGCACACTGCAGCCAGACTGGCTCCGGAGTGTGGCTGTCCATGCGGAAGAGGTAGGTCTACACAGTAAGGTTGGGTCTTGTGGATCTACAAGCAAGTGTTTGGACTTCTCTCCACAAGCATATGCTTGTGGATTCACAAGCAAAAATGCCGTGATGAAAGGAAGGGATAATGAGGGTTTGACGAGGGTGTGACAGCTCCGTCGCCGCACCAGCGAAAATATGCCAGACCGAAGCCTGGTATCGTACCCAGGCCTGCGGATCACTGGCCCGACACTTTACCGCTAGACTAGCGATGCCTGTGAGGGAGGACGGGTCCAGCCGCACCAACTATCCGCCAGCCCGCCCGGCGGCTGCCCTCGCACACTCCCCCCTCCACCCCCCTCCCAGCCGCGCTGTCCCGCGTGCCTCACAGGTATAGGCGGCCGGGGTGACGCACAAGCAAATGCTTGCGGATTCACAAACCTGTCACATCCTCGTCAATGTATAACAAGGGGGCAAGTAGACGCACGGCATCGACAAGCAAAATAATGCTTGTAGTTGCCGTTTGGGGGCGAAATGCTTGTGGATTCACAAGACACAACCTTACTGTGTATAGAGTTATATGCTTTTGTTTTACCAGTGAATGCAAACGGATTGCACCAATTGACGCTCCACTTTTAGCGTTTGGATTCTCAGTGTCCCAGCCTGAGTTAACGGTGGCACGAGCCCAGCATGGGCGTAAGAGGGTACCTCGGAGAAAATCCAAACTGGAAGTCAGCGACAGAACGGGAGAAACCAAAGAGCGTCGCGAGGCCGCGCTGAGCGGTGGTGGGGGCTTGGATAGACAGAGGAGGGGCAGCGTGCGCGCGCCGCCGCCTTCACCCCCACTCCGCTGATTTGGACCCCCACCACCGCTCAGGACAGGCGCGCGACGCTTTATTGTTTCTCCCGTTCTGTCGCTGACTTCCGGTCTAGGTTTTCTCCAAAGAACCCCATTTAAGTGATTTTTTCTCGATTTTTCAGAACGTTTATTTTGACATCTTCTCCGGTGTTAATGTTGATTTAAGTTTGTATTGGTTTGTGCTCAGCATCTCCTATGTTTGCACAGGATGCCGCTCCGTGACTTGGCGATAGAGATCTACGTCAAGACCTTAACTGGCAAGACAATTACGCTGAACTGCAATGAATCTGACACCATTCAAGTAAGTTTTTAAAAAAGTCCTGAAATTCGATAGAAAGCCTTCCAGCGGCTAAACGTCGCGCACTGTGGCTTAAAGATACGGATAATTTTTTGCCTATATTCTCCGTAGCCCTCTTATCAATATTCTCTTAAGGACCTTGCTGTATTTTCCATAGGATCTCACAGTATACTCCGCTGAACCTTACAGTGTTCTCCGTAGGAGTATCAGACTGTAAGGTCCTACGGAGAAGACTGTAAGGTCCTACACACTAAATTCTTATGGACTTTTTTATGCATAGCTATGCATGCACAGATGCGTCCACACGTTATGTACAATATTCTGCATCACTGTGTACATTTGATGCAGGAAGATGCATGAAATGTACTCAGTGATGCATAATTTTATACATACCTTATGGACGTTTCAGCGCATGCACAACTGTGCATAAAAAAAGCATAATTATGCATTTAATAAGTCCATAAGAATTTAGTGTGTACGGAGGATATTGATGAGAGGGCTTATCACTAGTTGTTGACAGAATTTTTCGTAGCATTTTCTTACAGTGCACGGAGTCGGTCCTCAAGATTTAATTAATAGCTTGGGGTGGGCCAAAAGACTCACCAATATTTTGCAGTCTTAAACCTCCAAAAACACCTGGGGGGTTCAGTACCTCTATCAAACCCAGGTTCGTCGTCGGATCTCGCTCCCGGTGGTTTCCTCGGCAATTCGTATTGATTATAAACTGGTAAAACGAGAGCATAGAACTGTGTCCACGTGAACTTTTTAAAACGTCGACGCGTCCCAATAGAATTACTCTAACTGTTAGAGCAGATCCAAGATGATTTTAACTGTCAGTACAGATTTACACTGTTAAAATTTTTTTTAAAATTCAGACCAATTTTGTAAGATCTGGTGGTCTGATTTCTGAATTAAGACCAGAAGTATTCAAAAGAAGAATCCTCGGATGAATTTTAAGACTTTCGCAGTCTTAAAAACAAATTCAGACCATCCAGACAAAAAGTCTGACAGGGGTGACTGAAAATTCAGACTAAGTACAAGACCATGTAGTCTGAATCGCCTTTTCAGACTATTCTCCTGAAAAGGAAGACCGATTGATCTTAAATTTCAAACTGGTTGTGTATTTTCAGACCATGGGTCTAAAACGGGAGACGTATTGTTCTGAAATGTCAGACTGGTTGCCTCATTTGACCAAATTTAACCGCAATATTTGAGCGCTCGATACAGAAACTTAAATATTCACGAACAGCCCAAATTGTCCGCAGTTTAACTCCCGCAACACGCGCTTTGTTTGTTTATTTGTGGCCTCCCAGCGTCCAGCGAGCGCGCTTGGAGTCATCGGCATCCTGCAGCCATGCTCTCAGAGCGGTCCCGTGGTGTAATGGATAACCCGCAAAGCCGACGAGCGAGGATTCGATGGTTCGAATACCAAGATATTCGGAGTTTATCTATCTTAGCTGCAGAGGTACCTAAAAGTGTTCATGAAGTATCTTCACTGCAAATCAGAGAATCGCCATATATCTGAAATGCAATGTCCACGTATTTATATAAGGATGAAACTTTGTAACAAGCCCTTCGGCGAGTAATCTTACGAAAAATGTTGGCGTCACGGACTCAGGCGATATAGTTCTGAGTTGACAAGAAATGTCAGGATTGTCTTGGATCTGCTCCGACAGTTACGATTGTCTTTGATCTTCCCTGGCAGGATTACTCTAATAGGACGCGTTGATGTGTGCGTTCAATGGGCAATGGCCCTCCCTAATCTCGGAAACAGACCCTATGTCGATATCGGCACTCGTTTGGGCACAGGAGCCAGGAGAAACGAAACTACCGTAGAACGGGGTAATATGAGACAAATTTCGAGGTTTTTTGAGAATTTCCCCTTTTAAATTTCAATTTGGGGTACTGAGGTGTTCATCACTTGTTCATTGACCCTTTGGCTACACTCCCACCAAATTTCCGATTTTTAGGTGCAGTAGGGACTTTTCAATAACCCTCGGAATGCCGTCCCATATTTCCCTACAGTGTGGGGTAATATGAGACGAAAGAAAGAAATGTTAAAGAAGTATGGAGAACTAACTCATTTCGGCGGGTTTGGAGCTTTTGAAGTTCTTTTCACTCATTTTAAGGACGATTGGCAACTATAATGGAGACGATATAAAATCCGGAGGGGAGAAAAATGGGTGTCACTAAAGAGAGCTGGAAATGTATAAGAAGTCATGAGTTGTGCCTGTCACATAAAAACACTAAACGAAGAGCACAGATGCCGGTCAGATAGAAAATCAAATTCGAGTTAAAATCATTATTACTTGAAATTATTAACAGTGGAGTATGTTTGGCCTCATGTTTCAAGCGAAAAGAGGTGTCTCTATTTTCCCTGCAAGGTAACAAAATTGTGTTCCATCTGGAACAGGCAGCCCGGGAGTAGACATAACGAAACCAAATTTTGTCCTGATTATGTGGACATAATTGCGTACAGATTTAAACCTCGTTCGGACGAGAACCTGAGTAACCGAGGTTTCTGGGGACGTTTTTACTAACTTTATAAAACTTGTTAGAATTTAGAGGTTTTTCCGTTGGTTCTAAGTAATCCTGGTGAGTCTCTGATAGCCTTCGTGCGCTTCCTGTGAGCTGCCACGGCCTCCTAGATCACGAAAAAAAATTCACGGTGGTCTTCCGAACGACCGCTAGAGAGCAACGTGACAAAAACCGAAAAAAGTGCACTTTGTCTCGATTTTCCTTCATGTCTCATATTACCCCGTTCTACGGTACACTGTTAAAAAAAAATTCTGAAAATTCAGACTAAATGAACTGAAGAAAATTTCGCAAAAGGCACTCCTAATTTTCAGACCAACTTTTTCAGAAACATGCGGTCGGAAAATTCAGACCTGTGAATTCAGACCACAAGTCTGAATATGTATTAAGACCTCAAGTCTGAATTGATATTAAGACCGCTGGACTCTGAAATTTAGGAATTCGGTGAGCTTAAAATTGAGATGTCTTATTTCTTAAAAAAAGGGCTTCCTGGTCTGAATTTGCTTTCAGCAGTTCACTCCCATACCCCTCGCCTCCCTCTTTGTGCGCAGTGCGGGGAAGGTAATATATGAAAGTTGATCCAACCATTGCTTTAAGAAGGATGAAAATTGCTGTGGCTAGTAAAAGTCAATTTTGTAACCTTAAGGAACTGTCAAGTGAAACTTGCATGTCCTAGAAATATATGTCACAGGAAGTTCATTTTGAGGTCAAAATTCCACCACTATTAGATAAATTTATTCGCAAAGTTGGGGACTCCAACTCTAATTAGTTTCTGAGTTATGGATGTTTACGTAAACTTTTAGTCGTTTCCTCCAAATTCTTCTCACGACAAAGGATTAGCTACCCAGTCTTCAGATTCTGGCAATTATATCTATTTTTGCATATGAAGAAGAAAGAGTTGACAAATTTGAAAAACAAAGTCCAGAAGAGGCTGTAAAAGCTAACTTATCAGACCCACTTTTATTTTTCTTCAAATTTGAAAGATTTTGCCTTATTATTGGTTTATGGTTTTTCAGGAAAGCAAAGGGAGATATTTTTTAAAAAAGCAACACTATCTATTTCCTTTGCAAAAATAGATATAATTACAAGAATATGAAGACTGGGTAGCTAATCCTTTGTCGTGAGGAGAATTTGAGAGAAACGACTAAAAGTTAACGTAAACATCCATAACTCAGAAACTAAAATAAGGTGGTGTACAACTCTTAGTGCATGAGTTAATGCAATGGAAAGGAACTTTTATCCAGGTTATGAGACAAGTATTTTTTTAAAAAAAGTTATAAAGTCACTTTGGTCACTTTAGTCATCATAACCATAAATTTCTTTGCTTATCATTGCAAAATCAACTCAAACCTTGGTTGTAACAATTAACTCACTGTGGCAAGCACACATCCAACACGCAGCGGTGCACACGAAGTGAACGCATCAGATTCGCCCAACCAGAAGTTTGAACTATTATCCGATGAAGGCACTTTGGGGACGAGTGTGAACGGGGAGAGGCGAATAACTTAGAACACCTCTCGCCCTCTCACCGCCCGCCCCTTCAGTTTCGGGAGATGCGTACAGCGAGCGCAGAGTCACTACAGCGTCAAGAAGGGTCATCAGCAGAAAACACTTCGAACTAAAATGCACTTCTTTCCGTCAACATGACTTCAGCGCGCCGAGCGAGTGGACCTGACGCAAGTTAAACGCGATGTGTGCACCTTGGAAGACTGCTGGAGACTGATGCAGGGCGCCGGCCCGGCCAAAACTTTCCGAGTTGCCGACGGATTAACGCTCCCCTCCTTGCCGAGCCAATCAGAGGGCGCCTCCAGCCGGCCCTGCCTCGCCGGACTTTCCGAGAATGCACCGGCGGAGACAGTCCTGAGGCCGCTGCACAGGGCTCGGCTCGGTGCTCGGCGCTGCTCGGTGCCGAACGAACTCAGCCGAACAAGTCCGAGACAAACTAGATCGCTTTCGGGCCTACTAGCTTAGCTGGTCAAGGTGCTGCCAGAGCGCTATAAAGAGGGCTACTCTGAGGCTCAAGGTGCTACCTTCGGGGCAGTCCGATTAAGGCAGCGTGTGTAGAGAGAGAGGGCGGGAGTCAGACGAGTCGGGCAGAAAATTAAGACCGGGCGCTGAATTCTACTTTCAGACTCGCGGGGCAAATTATTAATCCTTGTCAAGTCTGAATTTTCAGACCGCCACGTCTGAATTTTTTTTCAGACTACAAGGTCCGTATTTTTAGACCTGCGGGCCAAATATTAGGACTCTAGTCTAAAAACGAAATTCAGACGGACAAGTCTGACACTTTCGGTCTGAATTTTCAGAATTTTTTTAACAGTGTACCTCGAAACGTGAGGATCGCTCTTGAGCTTCCTATTCTTCAGTGTGGATTCTCACGCAGCGCACCGCGGCATGTTCCAGATGGTGAAGCAGGCGATCACGGCCTCAGCAGGTATTCCGCCCGACCAGCAGAGACTCGTTTGGAGCAGGCGTCAATTGTTGGAGACCTGCACCCTCCTTGACTACGGCGTGGGGCATCGGTCGACCCTTGACCTGATACTGCGTCTGCGCGGTGGCGGCAGCCACACCGCCGTGGCGCAAGGGGCGCTGGCTGCGGACGAGGACGCTGCGGCCCCGGAGGGCGCTGAGCCCGTCCCCGCCCCGCCTGCCCAGCCGCAGCGGGCCGCCACCCAGCTGGCGGTGGGCAGGATCCTGTCCGGAGAGGTCGTCCCGCCCCCGGAGACGGTCGGCTGCCGATTCGTGGTGCGGTGGCACAGCAGCGTCAAACTCCAGTTTGACGTGTTCGTTCAAGAGCAGAAGGCGTGATGCGCTTCAAAGCAGCTATTGAGCAATCAAAGTTTTCTCAATGTTAACTGTTTTCTTTAGTTTGAACTGATTTTAATGTTATGTTTAAGCAGCTATTGAGCAATCTAAGTACTCAATGTAAACTGTTAGTAATCTTTGGTTTAACCTGATTTTAATGTTATTATAAAATAGTAACGATACACTCTTTTGTTGACTAATTATACTTGTATGTAGTAGGCCCTGATTTGTTGCGAAAGGCTTTGTATTTCCTCTTTTGTTTTGCTGTGCTGAAGAAGCCCCCTTTGTGTTATGAGAGCGAACCGTACAAATACACCTTCTCTTATAAGAGTAAATGTGACTGTTTCTTTGGCTTCGGCTGGGTGCGTCAACCTAATCTTACAGCGTACGCCGTACAGTCAAGACCGCCGGAAAGCCATCGCCGTTTCGAGTTCTGTTCGCAATCACTATCAGGGTGATTTCATGCCAAACCCACGAACCCTTAGAGATTCATCTCTGATTTGGATGCACCCTTTTTTTTTGTAGGTACTCTTCAAATCGAAGAGCGTACATTTTATGCTCTAACTGGAGTCTGCCTGTAAGCACGCTCTAGCTAGCGCATGCCTGCCAAGCATGCACTTACTAGTGCATACATGCCATGTGCACGCTCCCTGATGCAGGCAACTGAGAAGGTTTATCTAAGAAAAGCAGGGCCTTACAACGACCCCCTTGGATTTCGCTGATTTTTTGTTGGTTAGTAGTCCCCCATGGTGGGAGTTCATGGCCAAAATTTCAGACCTGAAAAAAATTTCCTCTGGGAGATATGGGGATTTTAACACTGCAAATCCAAGTGTAGGACAGGTCGACACTTTAAAGCGTAGACCAGTTTGTCCTACGCTTGCAAGTGTCGACCACTTGTGTCCGACGCCTAGAAGTGTCCACCACACTGTGTCCGACGCCTGCATGTGTAGGACACTGTTTGTCCTACGGCAAATTACACTGAATTTCCTATTGTGACCCCACACTTCAGCCGTCGGACATTCTGTGGTCGACACTTGCAGGTGTCGGACAGTGAGTGGTTGACACTTCAAAGCGTCGGACACAACTGGTCGACACTTGCAAGCGTGGATTTGGATTTGCACTTGGATTTGCAGTGAAGTTTTTTGGGGTATTTTTACACTAATTTTGGGTATTTCTTATATCTCAGGGACTTTTAGTCCGATTGGTTTCAGATTCTAGTTCCAGCTTGAAAATTGAACGGGGAACACGATCGTGCCATCAGATATGACCTGAAATAATTAATATATGGTGAAAACTCACTTTTTCTCGAAAGAATTACATAAATAGTCCGAAATCTTGGGATTTTGCAGTTAATGTTCTCCGACCTTTTTGAATCTGGTCTTATTTTACTGAGAAAAGTCCGCTGAATCCAAAAATCACAATCTCAGATTTTTCCGTCTAACCGCTCCGGAAATATTCCACTTCAAAGTTAAGGGAGTATGGGGCGATTTGTAACAGATTTCGGAACTCGCTATACAAAATTAAGAACATTCTGCATATCGGTGTCAAACTTGTGCCAGTTAAGCAGTCTGGCCCTTCATCTAGACTGTGCAGCTCCATTGGATCAATCTGGAGTCCGTAATCTTTGAAATCTAAGACGTTTTTCAAACCCTTGCATGCTGTTACGAATCGCCCCAGCATGGGGCGATTTGTAACAGCCATGGGGCTTTTCATAACATCCTCCACATTAAATGAAACGTCGTCGGGAATGTTATCTCCTCCACCAGTTGTTCTTCGGGTGTCCTGCAGACGTCTAAAAATCTACATTACAAGCTGTCGTTGACCGCCTCCGCATTAACTGATCGGCTATGCCAATCCTAACCTCACTTTTTTCAATTTTAGATGAAAGAATAGAATAACTCGCTTTAAAATGCATTTCGAGCTGTGTAAATAAATTGGAATAAGGCAGCAGATGATTCGAGAAAAAATTCAAGCATTTAATTGCTAAAACTACTTAAATTCTTGTTTTTATACGGGTCTGTTACGATTCACCCCAAATGCCTGTTACGCAAGAAATACGTCCCTAACTATCACTGGACAAATTAAAAGCAACTTATACCACGTGGTTACATTGTAAAGGGGTCACGCTTCAAGGCCACAACGGTGCTTCGATGGTGATTCGTACCTGGGGAGCCTCAGACAGAAACTTCCTAGAACTCAAAATAAAAGATTTTTCCTGTTTGCCGAAATTTTGGTGTACCCTATATTTCAGACGCCCTCCAAAACTATACCTGAGCACCGATCACATCCGCTTCGATTGTTCAAGGACCCTGTACTTGAAGCGAAAGAGGGGCCATACTCAGATTTTCCTCTGCTCCCTCCACTTAAATTAATAAACGCATTTGTTACGAATCGCCCCTGTTACAAATCGCCCCATACTCCCTTACGCCTTTTTTCGGCCTAAAATTTGTGCGATTTTGCGGGGCTTTTCATTTTGAGGCATTGGGCGGTGAGTTCTAGTGACGCTGGCCTTGTGCGCCGGCTGGTGTACCCTAGCGTGCCCTTTCAGCGCCTGCCAGGTACGCCAAGCCGTACCGCAACACATGCGTGTCCGACTGGTGGCCTATCTCGCCCCTGACGCAAGCCGCAACTGCCGCAAACAAAGGCACTCCGCGCTCCGTTCGCTGGCCCAGCCGCTTCGCCCTCCTAGAGTCCCACCCAGTCGCAGTGCCTTTTTCCCCTGTTTAGGCTTTAAGGGGGCACACCAGTGGAAATCGTCAAATTTTGGCCTTCTGTTTTATTTTATCCTTTTTTTCTGCTACTCATCCCGAGTCGAACGCCGCAAACCTCACCTCAAAATTGCAATTACTTTGGCTTGGGCACATTTTTGTAGGTGCTAAAAAGGTAGCTACTTTTGCATATTTCACCTCAATTGTTAACGTTCAGGTGATTCACTTGAAGTCCAATGGCAGAACCCCCGGGCCATCCAATCGCAGTTGGAAAAAGAAATGTTTTGGCGCAAACCGAACTCAAATATGTCATAAATTGCGTCCGTAATCGGGAAAAACGCGTGTAAACCGTTGTTTAACTGAAAACGTCATTTTCTCGAAACACCATTTTTGGACCTGGTGCCCACGATTGCGGGCGCAAAAATTGAGATAATTGAGTGCGGTTTGCGGCAAAATGCTTCTTAAACTTGCTGCTATCGTGTGAACCTCGGATATGGTCGTAGCATGTACAGGGCCTGAGCCACAGACACGGAAACGTGAAAAATATGGTCAAAAAATGAGTTTCTTTTTTTGCTTCTCAAAAAAACATATTTAGGATTGTGTTTTCGACATGTCCGTGGTTCACACGATAGCCACATGTGTCCTGATGAGAAATTTTGAAACCCCATGTTTCAGGCTCAATCGAGGGCTTCACAAAGTTGGGCAAAGTGGAGCCGTGTCACCGAAAAATGACGATGGCGCCCCCCCCCCTTCCCGTCGCCGCCTCTGGCTGCCGTGTACTTTTTTGGTTAAATTGACATATTTTATAGTTCAGAATAAAATTTCAACCCATTACCTTCGTTACTTTCCTCAGAATAACGTTTTTACGAAGCCTCTGCATTTTCACTGGTGTGCCCCCTTAACTTTAGAAATCTTTTTGCGCATACTATTTTCTTGTAAAAGGTTGGCCTTGACATTTTTCACTTCTTCCATTCATTTTTAAAAGATGCCGGCATGCACAACTCAAAATGTAAATTACATTTTTATTCGCAAGCTTTCTAACCAAGCATTTCACTATAATTGATCAAAAATGTGCAAAATAGTCAAAGTTTAGGGACTTTTCAGCTTAAAAAACTTACAATTAATACTGTTATGGAAATTTTGAGCTATGCATGCCGGAATCTTTTGAAAATGAATCGAAGAAGTGAAAAATGTCAAGGTCAACCTTTTACGACAAAATAGTATGCGCAAGGAGATTTTTTTAAGATACAGCGAAAATGGGCTCAAAAAGACTTTACGACTGGGTTCAGAGCCTGGGATGTGCTTTCGAAAGTCAAATTTTAGTCTCCTCGAAGAAAATTTTATATTCCGAACAGATTATGACATTGGGATCCATTTGGAAAATGGCAAGATTTTCACCAGAACCTCCCCTTAAGTAGTTTATGCAATTAAATGCTTGAATTATTTCTCGACTCATCTGCTGCCTTATTCCAATACATTTACACAGCACAAAATGCTTTTCACAGCGAGTTATTCTAATCTTTCCTCCGAAATTGAAAAAAAGTGAGGTTAGGATTGACATAGCCGATCAGTTAATGCTAAGGCGGTCAACGGCAGCTAGTAATGTAGATTTTAAGGCGTCTGCAGGACATCCGAAGAGCAACTGCTGGAGGAGATAACATTCCCGACTATGTTTCATTAAGGTGGGAAATACCCATTGAAGCCCCCTTTTTTTTAAAGTGCCTAGTTTTCATTGAAAACTCTTTCCTACCATAAGGAGTTTAATTTTGTCTTGTAATGTGTTCCTATAGATTCCAAATTCAGCCAGACATTTAACCCAAGGACCCTATGAGTGTAGAAAACTTCGGCCAAAAAACAACGCTGCCAACCTTCGGTGCGCATGTTTTCTCGTAATGTAATTGATCTCCTGGTCCAGGTATTCTGTACAGGATACTTGACACATATATCTAGTTTACACCGTCACCCTTTTTTGAAAGTGAGTTCCAGATTTTTGTAAACACGGCAGAAAAGTGAAAAAAATGAAGTATTGACTCTCTATTTTCTTTTTCAATGAAAACTAGGCACTTAAAAAAAGGTGGCTTCAATGGGTATTTCCCACCTTAATGTGTAGGATGTTATGAAAAGCCCCATGGCTGTTACAAATCACCCCATGGCGAGGCGATTCGTAACAGCATGCAGGGGTTTGGAAAGCGTCTCAGATTTCCAAGATTACGGATTCCAGATTGATCCAATGGAGCTGTACAGTCTAGATGAAGGGCCAGACTGCTCAACTGGCACGAGTTTGGAACCGATATGCAGAATGTTCTTTATTTTGTAAAGAGAATTCCGAAATCTGCTACAAATCGCCCCTCTCTTCGTTACGCTTTGATCAGCAAGGTAAAGCTGTTCCCCGCGCTGTTCCCTTGGTTCCAGGTGCTTCACTTCTTAAGTTGCAAACTGTTGTCGTAACGGCCCTGGTATCGTTTCGGTTTGGGTATCATCCCTGGGTACACACAAAATCTATGTGTGTACTCAGTACACACTTCTAGGTGCGTGCTTACAAGTACCTATAAGTGTGTACTCAGTAAGTACACACATAGAAGTGCATGCGTTTTCCCTATGCCGCGCATGCACCTCACAAGTGTGTACTCATTCAAGTACACACTTCTAGGTGCGTGCTTAGGCAAGTACACACCTAGAAGTGCATGCTTGAAAGCACGCACCTAGAAGTGTGTACTGAATACACACATAGATTTTGTGTGTATGAAGCAGCAGCAGCTCGCTCCGTGGTATTAGACATTCCACACACAAGTAAGGCCCTCTGAGCTGTTGCAAGATGACTCCGACCAGCTGCTCTGCATCTTCAAAAACAACCGTCTCTTCTTGATTTCTGGCATGCCTTGCCCGTCTCTCTTTAACTGCCGCGTCCTCTCCATTCTCTCTCTGTAATAAGAGCGGGATGGGAAAGGAGCGAAAGTTGTAGCACTCTCCCAATACCAACACTACCCATGTTTTTGGTACACACTGCAGCTGAAACACGGTACAAATTTGATTTTGTACCAGCATACAACCGAGATTTAAGTGCACGGGCATTACACATATCATTGAAGCTTTCATTAGGGAGTGAAGAACCAGCTGGAGCAAGCTGCTCTACATTGTCAACCTGTTTTAGCAAAATTTTCGTCAGTTCAGCATAGAAAGTTTTGGCTGAGCGATAGCGAAGCCAGTTACTCCAGTGGGGTTGGAAAACTTTTTCTGTCTGTCTGTCTGTGTGTATACACTACTCCTCCTGAACGGCTCGGCCGATCTGGCTGAGATTTTGCAGGCCCATTAGGTATGTTCTTGGCTCGGCACACGCAAAATGTCACTTTCCTAGCTCAACTCGTTCAGTTTTAATAGCCGAAAAACACCTAAAAAATGGCGAAAAACCGAGTTTTCTGCAGGTAGATCTCTCCTGTCTTGATGAACGGGGGGTCTGGGGGGGTGGAGCCCCCAAGCATGCAACAAGTAAGGAGTAACCGATGATAAACAAGCCAATACCTGCCGGCCGACGGCAAGCCAGCGCCGCAGGCCAAGGTAGGTACGCCAGGCGCGGATTGGAGGAACAGGCCGCGAGACATCGCGAAGCCTGTTACGACAAGACGCGGTCTGGCGTAAACCTACCTTGTTATCAGACAAGGCTTTGTATCCGGGCAGATTTTATACTCATGGTTAGAGTTGCCGGAGTTACCTGTAGCTTTGCACCAGGTGTTACAAGAATCGTGATTGCCAAAAATATGTTCCCTCACATTCATGATACCCCTGGTGCATTCCATGACAGAATAACAGGCCTTGAGACAAAGGTTGTCAGAATCGGCCCAAAATTTTTTTTGGTTATTCTTCCTTACTAGTAGACACTAAAAACAAATTTTTAGATTTTTTGAAATGTTTTTGTAGTTTTGGTGAACCATTTTAACCAAATTTTTACTACAAAAATTTAAAAAAATGCAGATACCAAAAAAGACGTCATCATGGATTTGGCTGAAAATTTTTTTGTAGCTTCCCCTATTAGTGTGCTAAGAGCCTGCAATCCCCCATTGAGGGCCCCATGGTAGCTGGCCTACATTAGAAAAATTAAAAACAACATCTCAGTCAAAACATTATTCTTTAATTTTTCACAACATTAGATTGAGTTACATTAGAAGATAGTGAATATCTCCTACATTGTACCCTTGAAGCAGAGATAGGCAGTACATGATGCAGTTCTATGGTTCCACACTGTAAAAAATTATGTTGTAATTTAGCAGTAAATATGTTGCTAATTTTCTTAGCGATCAAAGTTGTTTTCAAATGACTTTCGTTGTTTACTAACGAGTTGCGTCGTTCGTCCACAAGATGTTTGTAAACCGGTAGACAGCCTTATTTGCATCAATTTTTATTGCCGATTAGGTCACAGACCTAGTAGAGTCCCGGTTACCCCGCAGTAACCACTTCTTAGATTGTCCGGGTTGTTTGCACGCAGCAAAATATTGTTTTGAAACAGCATAAGTCATAAAAATAATTAGCAACGAATTCGTCGTTTTAAAACAAGCAAACTTGTTCACAAACAACAGCGTTGTCGAGGTTGGTAATTGTGTTGTTGTTTTAAAACAACAATTTTTAACAGTGCACTCACAGCAACTGTTTTGGAGAATCTCTTCTTCAGGACATCATTTACAAGTGCTTTAATTTCTTCGTCTGATACATACTCCACGCGAATGTCCGATCATCGGCTTGAGCACACCTTGTAAACTGGCTTTGGCAGCAGCCCGTTTCACTGCACCTCCATTCCCATCACAAGGAGACTTTCCATGCGCAGTTTCAAAGAAGTTCCACTCCGCTTCCAAATCAAAATCTTCTTTGTGAAGACGTAAATTGAAGAATGCATGCCTATTTCTGTACTGTGATGTGGTGCTGTCAGTAAAGTAATGGATTTTCTTTAGACCTTCCACTTTGCCTTTCAAATAAGTTAAAAACTTTTTCTGAAATGTATAAATAGATGCGGCATTGTGGCCCTTCGTGTCAGAAATGGCAACATAGTTTATATGCTTCAGCTCTCCATTTTCTGTCTCTCGATAGTAGGCCACAAATGGGTGGCCTATTCTGTCATGGAATGCACCCCCTGCGCACTCCCTCAACATCACCTTCGTTTTGTTGGATGGCGTACTGAACACACCTCTTGATGTGGTTGATGGAGTTTCCTGTGAGGAACGTAAACCCACGTTTCAATTTCAACTCCCACAGTGGGTTGTTGACACCTTTGATGTTATGGTTTATGTCGACTATCTTCTTGTTCTCAAATTCTGCCTTTGCCCGCAAAGCTGCATTGGTTGATGAGTCTGTCACCAGTCAAGGAAGTCAATCGAACACCAGCTGCATCTAGGTCAGGATTATTAAGAATCAGTTCTACTGCAGCGGCTGGCTCCATGCCCTTCGAACTGCCCACATAGTTTCTAACATAGTCGTGGTCTTCAGGATCATGGCCCCGAGCACACATTGCACAATATTTGCTGTAATGCTGGAAACCTAGAACTTTCTTGGACTCGGAACCAATGAGACTACCTCTACCGCTAAGGCTGTCATACTTAAAACCGTTCCCACATTTGTCCCAACCAAAATCCCTTACACAACCGATTCCATCCGAAACTGGCCGGGGACAGCTCCAAAGTTGTCCGAAGGCACTCGGACGGCCCGATTTTCGTCCTTTTCCCATCCGGGACTTGCCTATTGAAGCCCGAGCCCGCTCGCAGCCGTACGGACTGTCCGATTCTGGCCGCAAACATTATGGGACAGTCCGACCACAGTCCGAACACCGTCCGACATGGTCGGGTGGAATTTTGAAGGGGGTGGGGCTGGGGCCGGGGCTGGTGCCAGCAAGGGCTGGCGATGGGGGATGATCATGATATCAACGTTTAAGTATTTGCGGGGAGGCTCAGCGAAGAGGAGGTGGCCGCCTATTCG